GGCTAGAATTCGGCTGTCTGCCTAACTTAGTGGGGGAAAGGGAAGAGGAGGGAGGGCAGTTAGGGAAAAGCAAATGACTTCTGAGGAAAAGAAATGGGCCCTCAGAAGAACAGATGGGAGATCTGCTAGTCTGTGACCTTGTCTGTCCGGGTGGGGGGTGTGGTGCCAGATTTCTGGTCTCCTCGAAGAGATTAGAGTTGCTCTCAGGAGGGGATTTAGGACAAATTCTTTTGAGAGGCTCTGCTTTTAGGTCTGATAAGGAACTTCAGGAACTCAAACGCCTTCAGCATTTGAAATGAATTCTTAGGCACGTGAAAGTGGCGTATTTTGGCACGTCCTGGTCCTCAACACGTTCATAGAACAATTTTCTCTGAATTGGTATCCTCTCTAGCACAGGGCCAAGCACAGAGTCTGTTTTCAGGGACTGTGTATTCACGAAAGGACTGCCGAGTTGCAAAACAGCCTAGCCAAAGACCATTCAGGGCAACAGACACATAAAACCTGAATGCCCTCAACGCTCTCCTGGACGACACCCAGCCTTACAGGAAGGGGATCCAGCAACCTATGAGACCAAAGTCTTTCACGATTTCTCCTCACATAAAAATGCTGCAAAACAAAACAAAACACAAAAAAAACGCTATGGGTGAGAGCAAAGAGAAGAGACCATTAATCTGAGTGTCATTAACAGGGAATGTGTCACGCGAAGTTAACGTTGATTTTGGATTTAAGAGAATGATTGGGAATTCTTTATGTGGAGAGATGGAGAAAAGGGAGTTTGTGTGTGGGAAAATGCAGTGGGCAAAGGCATGGAGTACAAAGAAAGCATAACCTGTATTAATGGAAGGGAGATGATGTTACCTGATAGTATGCAGGTAGGGGAGGTGGCCAATAGGAGCTGAGATTGGGAAGGTAAAGCAGAGGTCACTGTGAGGACTCTAGACTGAATCTGGTCATCATTCAGAGGTGGCCGGGAGCCACTGAAGGCTTTTGAGCTGGAAAAGAGCCCCTGTGAGTTTTACGTTGGTATTAACTTGGCATCCAATTTACAATGTTACAGGCTGCAGAGGGCAGAAATACAGACACAGCCACGCAGCTGGAAATATGAAACTGGGGCCCCAAACTGTGTTGGCACAGAGAGATGAGAATGATCACAACAGTAGTGCTGGTTGAAACGAGTGGGTGGAATTGAATACTAAACATGTCTTAAGTCTATTTGTTTTTTATTTTTATTTTAGAGAGAGAGAGAGAGAGAGACAGTGCGTGAGTGGGGGGGAGGCATAGAGAAGACAGAGAGAGAGAGAGAGAGAGAGAGAGAGAGAGAGAGAGAATCCTAAGCACGTTCCACGCTCAGCGTTGGAGCCCAACACAGGGCTCCATCCCATGACCCTGGGATCATGACCTGAGCTGAAATCAAGAGTTGGACGCTCAACCAACCGAACCACCCAGGCACCCCGAAAATGTCTTAAGTTTAGTATCGGTTGCAGGGTCTACCTTTACTTTTCTCTTACTTTCTTCTCCCCAACGTGTCGCCCACAAGAGTGTGAGGTCCTCAGGGTAGGCTCTGGTGTCTTATTCCTGCTTGTTGTCCGGCACCCGACCCTGTACCCTGCCATGCGAACGCAATACATGGTTGCTGATGAAAAAGAGTACGCAGAGAAAGGAGAAAACTCGTTTCTCAGAAAGATGGCGAAGGTAACATGGATGCCACTGAAGGGTTTTGACATAATGGAGAGAGAACGGATGGACGTTTTCTTGGATGGCTTCAAATCTTTTCAGGAAAGCATTTGATGCATTGTAGAGCATCCTGTGATAGAGGACGGGGTTCAGGGCTTGCGCGGAGCGAAACAATTTGAACAGCTGCAGCCAGAAATGTGCCTGGGAGACTCCCCTAGGCCTGCAAGCCTGTTTTTAGTGCCTTCTGTGTATCTGGAATGCTCCCTGCAGCCCGCTTCACCCTGCCTCTGTTATCTCTTATTTCATCTACTTATCTTTCAAAGCCTAACTCGAATGCTTCCAACTTTTCTGGGACATTCTCTCTGATACTATTTCAAGTTAATTAATCCTTTTTCTATGTTTATACTTCTCTCCTTGTTAATCCCATTAGATTTTAAATCACTTGAACACAGGAAGAGGGTTTTAGTCATCTGAATAGCCTCCCCCGGACCTGATGGGAAGCAGTCATTCCAAAAAAATGTTTGCTGGCATTTAAAATCAAACGAATTTAAGAATATGATTGATGAGTGGTAGGAAGGGCAAAGCTGAAGTTATATAGCTTGAAGTCTTGGTGGATCAGTATGGTTTTTGTGACTAACAGGGGTGAGACAAAGGAGGAACAGAACCCAGGAAGGATTCAAGAACTATGGGCTGTGATGCAGGCAGATGAAACTTCACAAAAACTCTTTTTTTTTTTTTTTTTTTTTTTTTTTTTTTTTTTTTTTTTGCTAGAGAGATCTAAACTTTGGTTTCCCTGCCTTGAAAAACAAAGGCATGATGGCTCACATGTATTTTATGGAAGGAAGGGATGTCATTTTTTTTCCACCCGACTTCCCTTTACCAATTGTCAGTGACACCCCCCACAAAGGAAAGTCAAACAATGAAGTCCTCAGTATTAGACTTGAATTTTAAGCATGGACTCCTACTCTTTAACTCCTCCAAACCCTTTGGCTGGCCTCTAAACTTTTGATTTTTTTTTTTTAACGTTTATTTATTTTTGAGAGAGAGAGTGACCAGGGGTAGGACAGAGAGAAGCGGGGGGGACAGAGGATCCCAAGCAGGCTCCATGCTGACAGCAGAGAGCCCAATGTGGGACTCGAACTCACAAACCGTGAGATCGTGACCTGAGCCGAAATCAAGAGTTGTACACTTAACCGACTGAGCCAACCAGGAACCCCTGGACTCTAAACTTTTGTAAGAACAAAACAGATTGATTTGATAGTGTCGCTTTTCCTCCTTCATTTCCAAACTTTCTAGAAAAGCAGTTAATGAGCAGTGAAATGAATGGAGATGGCCACAGGAAGTGGCTGAGAGATAAGTGGTATACCGGGACAACGAACTGAATGGCCTTAGACGGTGATGTTCAAATCCGAGTTCTGCTACTTGTCTGTGAAATGGAGATCATGAATACACTGTCCCCCTCTTACCCACGTGGGATGTGTTCCAAAACCCCCACTGGATGCCTGAAATCATGAATAACGCCAAATCCTATCTGCACTGTGTTTCTTCCTATACATACATACCTGTGATAACATTTAATTGATAAGTAAGGCAGAGTAAGAAATTAACAATCATTAATAAAATAACTAATAATAAAATGACTTAAAAGTTATACGACCATAGTTTTTCTCTCCCCCTCTCAAAATCTTATTGTACCATAGTCACCCTTCTTCTTGTGATGATGTGAGATGATAGAGTGCCTCTGTGAGGAGACGGACAAAGAGAACGACACAGGCATTGTGATACAGTGTTAGGCTACTATTGGCCTCTGACAATATGTCAGAAGGACAATCATCTGCTTCCAGACCTTGGGTAACTGACACCATGGAAAGTGAAACCACAGATAAGACAGGAGGAGGACTACTTAACTTGCAAAAATCATGTGAGAAATAAGCTAGATGTAAAAGCACCCAGAACAAGGAGTGTTGTGTATTTTTTTTAAAAATGTTTTGTTTGTTTATTTTTGAGAGAGAGAGACACAGCACAAGTGAGGGAGGGGCAGAGAGAGAGAGAG